AAGCAAACAGCAAGTTGGGGGTTCATGTCCAAAGATACACCCCTTGGTAGACCACTCAAGCAGTCAATAGATACGATAAAGTAGGAGATTACATCGAAATAAACTTAATTCTGAAACTACAAGCCCAACTACGTGTTCCATATGCTTTTCTTCTTAAATCTCCTGATGTGTGGTATCCTTAGTTCTCAGTTGCAGCAGCAGACCTAATAAGTAACGAGGGTATTAGAGTATGACTTCTACTTCAAAAATATCACGACAGACAAGAGGCGGTAAATAGGACGCTCAAAGAGTGGTAGAGGGGTGAGAAACAGTACCTGTCCGCCGCGACCAGACTTGGAATTGCTGCAGCACTTTAGCGCCGAGCAGCTCTCGCCCTTGTCGCCGCCCTTGGAACACGTTCCCGCCTTTGCGCATTGGCGGGTCTCGAGGAGGGAGGGGAGGTTGACGGAGTCGAGGTTGCTTGGGACGGCGACAGCGAGGGTAGCGAAGAGAGCCATGAGGACTGATGAGGCGCGCATCTTGGTTGTGGAAGGTGTCGTGCGGGTTTGTTTTGTTTATGGGTTTGTGAGTTTGATAGACAACGTTAGGATTGATGAAGACAGCGTGATTATGTAGTTTGATTATGTTGTGTAGAGGTGACGCTGGAAGTTGATAGCTGGGAGGATGAAATTCGAGGGATTCACGGCGACTTATATATCACTCTGCCTCGATCCACCACCCACGCGTGGTTTGCGATCGACTCGCATTGTCTCATGGGAGGCACCCTCGCATCCAACCTCAAAAGGGTGAGAACGTTTGACGATCCTTAGGCGAAAACCGAATCCAGAGTGCTGGGTGAACCGGTCCCGCTCGTTTGGGGCCCGTCTGGTCTGGTCTGATGTCGTGCTGGCTTACCGTCTGAGAGGGAGATCCGGAGTACTGGGGTTGTCTGTATGCTTTGGATGGGACGTATTCAACAACGAGTCGGTAGATCATCATTGGCCCCGTTGTTTGAGATGAACCGCGCATGATGGAAAGTCCGACCTGTTCGGAAGGCATCGCGAGTGTCACGAGTCAATAGTACCACCTTCTGAAGGGTACCTTGGAGAGGGACTTCGAAAAGCCTCCGGGCGTCTTAGTATCTGGGTATTCTGCTCGTCTTGTGAGGCAGGCGAGGCTTGTCCCAAAATTTGGGTGAAGTGAGTTGATTGACATGACTTGGCGCGCGCGTAGGTCTCGTTTCAAGGCATCCTAGAAGATCAGGGTTCGAGTCAAGATGCCGCGTGGTAGGCCTCGTTCCTGACGCATGGGAAACCAGACGCCTTGCACGCACGCCCAAAGAGAGGAGGAAAAAGTTGTAATGAAGAAAACAGCAGGGGCTGGAATGGTAATTCTCTTATTTTAGTATCATTGAGTCGTCTGATAGTTGTGTTGCCTTTTTCCGACGGAGTTTTTTTTGTGACTGGCTGGTCTGATGTTTTGGCATTTAGACTTTGAATGTCAAAACGTGTACGCTTCGTCGGCCTCCAGCTCTCACTTGCCTGTGTATTCTCGGTCCATCGTTCTGATCGGACAACGCTGTCGTAGGCATGCATATCCCATCGTCTGCGAATCCGGATTTCGCGTGTACGGGGGAGATGGACCTGTTCGAGATCTTCCCACGGATACCTCAACCGCACTACGCCCTTGGCGAAGATCGTTCATTAATGATGGATGTTCTGGTTACTACATCGCACCCATTCTCGTCGGTTTAACAAAGAGACGCGGGATGAACGTAGATGCTGTCGATCAATGAGGTTGGCGTTCTCTCAGGCTCTCCCGTGGCCATTGCCGCATCAGGTAGCCGCTACTCACAAACGGCGCGTCTTACTGGTTCGATGAGAGTTCCACGCGACAGGGGTCTGCTCACCCCCACCGAACGAGGAACGCCAACGATGGATTCAGAAAAAGACCATATCCACAGACTTTTCCGTCTGTGCCCATGTCTGACGGGGACACTAGAACATTGTTCCGATTCTGTATCCGTAGTCTCGAAGATGGGAGGTAGATGACTTATTCCCTAGAAACCACCGGCGGATGACCACGTGCCTCAGCTCTCTGACAAAGTCCGAAGGTCGCCTGGGGGAGGGAGACCCGCTATTTACGGCATTGCCCGTTTCTAGAATGAGTCTCTCGTCTCGGGTTGCCCTGCATCAGCCGGATTTACACCGCCGAGGGGGAGGGAGGGAGGGTAAACGTCTCAGTTTCATGTTGTATAGGTAGAATTTAAACTTTTAGTGGCTCAACTTCCCCGCCACCAGGCATCCTCAGACGGTGGAGGCATACTTTGAGTTGAGATGGGATTAGATGGGTTGTGTTCATGCACGATCAGGGTATCTTCCCCCCCTTCCCTCTGTTTGTCCGTCCGGAGTCTCCCTTCTTCCGAGGCCTATCATCAAAGGCTCCCCTGCCTCAAGTCTAGGTAACTTTGTAGTGTCGCAATGACTGCTTCGCTTGCGGTTGGCGTTCTTGATCTTGAGAAGAAACATGATCACAAGAGGAGAGCCTTCCGGTCGTTGATTCAGGCTTGTTGCAGGCGAGGCAATGAATCCCCTTCAGTCGATAGCACGAGTTAAACAAATGCAAGTGAGCTCAAGTGACACCACAACATGGAGTGACTCGTCTAGATCAAGGTAGTAAAAATCGCCCTGTCATCTGTATCCTATGAACTTTCGATGGCACGCAACTCAATACCAGATAATTGAGCTTAGTACCCGGCTGAAAGACTTGCCCTGCTGACGTGTACACGTGAGGAGCAAACTTTTTTCACATCTCGTCATTGGAGCTGAATCTGGTATATAAATTTCCATGTCTTGATATACAAAGCCATACGACAAAACATGATCCCTCCACCGTATACGCCGCGCCCAAGCAAAATGGTATTTTGGTTCTCATCGTCCGTTCCAAGCATCCTTCACATACTCAATTACACCTATTCAGGCCACCAACAAACAGAAGCTTTGCGATACAAGCTGTCCCAGCTGTCTGTATCAGACAAAGCCACACTCAAAAGTACCCGTGCTTTGGGATGGCAACAAAGATGGCGGTGAAGACGCCGCCAACGAGAACGGCACAGAGCATCGCCTGAAGGAAGATGGTGTCCTGGATGGTGCGCAGAGCAGGCTCCTCAATCCACACCTCGCGGTCAAAGATCTTGCGGACAATGTTGCGCTTCTCATACTTGATGACCCAAGGCTCCGACTCGTAGCTGTTGTTAGATCCAAACGTGTCGAAGGAAGTCTTGCGGTCGTCATTCTCCTCGTCCACGAAGAGCTCCCAGGGACGAACGTGACGATGGTGCATACCGTGGAGGACAACACACATGCCCTTGTAGGCTGCGACCAAGGTGGAAATGCCCAAAACCCATCCAATGGCAGCCAGTGCTCGCCATCCGCGGCCCGCACGGCTGAGAGTAATCAAGATGGCGACGACAAAGGCGATAGCAATGAGACCAACGCCGAGAGCCCGGGCGAAGAAGACGCGAGCGGGGTTACCGTTGCAGATGGACCAACGAATGAAGTTGGGGTGAGCCTGCTGGCGGAGAGAGTTCTCAACTACTTTGATGGCCAAGCGGCAGGCCGTAGGATGGGTAGTGTACGCAAGGGCGTGAAGAGTGGTGTCACGTTCCTTGGCCGAGAGGTTGAGCTGTCGCGGCGCACCCTCCATAATGTACGTGGCGATAACACGATCAATCTCTTCACGGAATGGTTGTATGGTGACTAGATCCAGTTAGTAGATACCTTGAAGCCCTCGAGTCTGACAACTTACAAGGCTGCTTGGCACCTACGGCCGCGAATGCATCACTGGCCTGAGAGCGGTACGAATCGGCATTCGACACGCCTTGAGACCCCGTGTAGACTGAGCCTTCGTAGTCGTTTGGGGTGCGTGGAGGGGTGTGGAAAGGGTTGTTGGAATCTTGCACGATGCCGCTCGTGGCACCCTTCTTCTCGAAATCGGTTCCCTTGAATATCTCTTGGCCGGGCTTCTTGCGCATCCTCTGTGACTTTTCCTTGTTCATGCGTTGAAGCAGATCAGCCTCCATGGTTTCGGTCCACTCGGGAGCGAGAGACATGTCAGACGTCTTTGCTTCCCCAAAACGCTTCTGGAAGTCCCGGTGCCAGAGGAAGAATTGAAGGTTTTCCGCCGCATGCTCAATATATATCAGGTAGTTCATGAAGTCACGCACGGTACAAGGCTATCAAGTCAATACTTTGGACAGTATCAAAGTCATGAGAGGCAACCTACAGGACATGTGCCACCGTTGATAATCTTGTCAAAAGTGAGCGACTCCGGGATGCCCTGCAGTTTTCCAGAATTGCCGGAGCGCAAGGATGAGGAGGTGTTGCTCTGCTTTTCATTGCCACTGTCAGATACATCTGAAGTGCTCCCGCGAGCTGAGCTGGTGTTGCTGACGTATACCGGTCGGCGGTAGGTGAGAGGTAGAAGACCCATTGTTGGATATTTGATAGAAGTGACACCAAATGTCGCAGTCTGGTTGGTAGTAGGTGGAGAGGCGAATGAAATAGGTGGTCTTAGGTTCTAGGGTGTAGGACAGTGAGTGTGAGTGAATGTCCAGAAACCTTTGACCGAAAGAGACCGCCTTTAACTTGTAGTATCCAGGTCCAGGAATGACGTTCCACGAGTAAGACCGGACAAAGTTGAGGGAAAGAGAGTAGTGTTGGGCTTAAGGTTGGGTTGGAACGAACTACAAGCTACTGCACAATGAAGAATAGTGCTCGCCTTGCGGGAGGGGTGGAAGGGGTTGGGAGTAGCGAAGAACACAACTAAGATGGGAGATGAAGGAACGGGGGAAACGGTCGAGGGCACAAGACGACTGATATAGCAGTGAGAGAAGAAAAGCAGGTGTAGGCGTAGGCGTGCCTGTGAACCCGTGCCCAGATATCTCGAGAGTTGAGGAGAGTCGAGGGCTGCTGGGGAGGGCCAGGACGATGGCCAGCCCCACACACATTTCGACGGAAAGACTACTTTATTTGGCCATGACTGGCTTCCGTTGACGGAGAGGGCTGAAGCTGGGCCAATCCAGAAAGCGCGAAATCGACCTGTAGCCGGGGTCCCTGTGGGACACTGGGACTTGGGATGGGTGAGGCGTCCAGACGTTTGTTGTTTCCTGGCGGAATGCGGACGGGTGGGAACGACACGGTGTGTAGGGATGTGCTTTCTTCTCGGACTTGCTTGGTGATGCTGATATTGAGGGCACGCTTGGCAGGCATGGAGGACGACGCAGAAGGAATAGCGCACCCGCGTGAGGGTGGAGGCGATGTACCGTGCAGTACGGAGTAGGCATGTATCTTCATTTCTGAATTTCTGTATGCAGCATGAGATAGTAGAACATTGAGAGACATGGCCCTGGCCGTGGATGCATGTGGGTATGAAGGAGAAGAAGCAAGAACGGCGCTAGCAACCGCATCGTTGGTTTTCAAAGTTTACGCAGCGAGCCCTTGCTTACCTGGCACGCCTGTTGTTGTTATCGTTATTGTTTTGGACAATTCGAAGATTCACAGCGCTTTGCGTTTGCGTTTGCGAGGCGAAGGCCCAAACATCTCTGCTATGCTCTGGTAACAAGACAAACGAGGACTGAGTGAGCCAAAAGCAGTGCAACGACGTGACCAAGTGACCGGGCGCCTCAAGAACGCCCATTCTCCCATTGCAGACCTGCTTCGAAGCCATAAGTGACGAAGCCCCCGAAACAGCGAAATCACTGTCGATCTCTTGCAGCATCGTGGCGATTGGTGGAGTGGGCCGTCACTAGCATCGAGGCTTTCCTGAACGAGTAAGGAGCGTCTGTTCGGCTGAGACAATTCACAGCTGGGCTTGTCTTCCCTGCTTGGGGAAAATCGACTCTACAGAGTGCGGAATTGGCTGGTAATAGGGACGGATATCTTTTATGTGGGAGATTGCAGGAGATCGGCAAGAGAAGAGCGTGGAGAAGACACCCAAAGGCCTGGAAATTTTTCAAACCGGCGTGACAATGATTAGTGATGTCTTTGGAAGGTGAGTGAAACCCCTCAAATATTTATCGGGTGCTGCTTTCACCTCAAGTTGTTGCAGCAACAACCTGACATGACAATAGTCAGCATCAGAAGTTGGTTCGAGGTCAAGCGAGGCTCGCGCGAATCCTTAGGACTCGTTCCTCTAAAAGCTCCAGGGGACCGGGCCCGGGGCACAGAGGCGTAGGAGGCGGCCGTAAGGAGGTGGACCTTGACGAGAGCAGGCGGCGCCTCCCACATCAAGCCTCCAGACTTGCCATCGTCGTCTGGTGGTGGACGGAGAAGAGCTCCGGGTCCGAGAGGCCGAGGCAGGGCTCCCTTTGTTCTTCATGGCGCTGAGTTTATCAACAGATGAGGCCAAGGCTTCCGGACTGAGGAGACTGTAGGTAGTCCATCAGTCCCCATCCCCAAAGCCCGTCAAGTCGGATCACGAAAGGTGCCAGTAGGTAACGTAATGTGGTCCAAGTCAAGGTTGACTTTGGGTCTAGGTGTGCCACTCGCCTAACGGCGCTCAGGAGATATTGATCCGGCGTAGGGCAGGCTGTGAACAGACGGTGGAGCTACGACACAAGCGCGGGATTGCTGAGAGAGGCGTGCCTGGCGTGCTTGATGGGAAGTATCCGTACGTAGGTATCCCCATCTGACCGGGGGAAGAGAGAAGAAGAAGATGAGAAAAAGAAAGACAAAAATGCTGCCCAGGTGGAAGGGGGGGAGAAAAAAAAGAGGCAAGGGGTTGGTGGTGGTGAAGGTACCTACCTATTCCTCTGTACTACTGAGGTACTAAGGTAGGCCAGAAGGTACCCAAAGTACTGGCAGGGTCCCCTGAATCGACGGTCTGTGCGCGTTCCTTCCCCGAGATCGATTGACGATGTTTCCTTCCCTCTCTGTACCTATTCGTACCTTGTTCGCACCTGCCGTATGACTCTCAAGAAACGACTTCCATTTGTAAGGCAGAGAACCTTGCCCGGAAAATTGAGTTTGAGCGTTCGATTTATGTACTATGTCCGCCTGAATTCCTTTTCTTCCCAAATTTCATCAGACGACTGCAACGACAGACAACTCAAAGATCAGACGAGATTACTTACACGAATCCTCTCCACCAAGGTCGGCCACCTTCAACCAGCCCCAAACAGCATTTCCTTTTTGCCACATTATCATCTCATGCTAATACTCCCTCCCCTGCCTGGTCCTCATGCCAGGTATCTAGTCATAGTGTCAAGGCTCTCCTCAGCGAACCAGATCGGTCAGGCTAGAAGCAGTAACGAGACGACTAGCCTCTTCAAACCATCCCTGCGAAGAATGTGAGGAAGAGTTTGAAGGAGCGCCTTGATCATGTCTTCTCGCTAATCGATAAATCTATCCCTGCTTACACCAATGGCCAATCAAACCACCACTCAACCACCACCTTATCCTAGCTCCTCACTTTCACCCACCGTCACCCACCAGCTAGACAAGTCCAGCCAGCCTGAGAAAACCTCATATCCAGCCTGTCACACCAAATCACCAAAAGTCTTGGTAGACTACCTCGGCCTATTCGGTCTCGCTAGTGTCGCCGACCATTGTGACATGGTCGCCGTACCTAACCATCACCCCGAGGTCAGTCTTTGTGCGTCCATCCCCCCTCCCAGATTTGTGCCAACCGCCTTCCGAGCAGCGCCTTTTTCTGTGTAGCGTCGATGAACCAGCTATCCGATCGAGCCAGCTTTCAGTAGCTCTACTTTGCGAATTGGCCGCCTGTAACATTGGCAAAGACCACATCTTACTCCAGCCTCACCTTCGCACCGTCGCACAGCAGCAGCTGTCGATGGAAAGGACAAGATAGCATTCCATTCAGGTCACAAAGCTGAAAATACCCCTGGTGCAAATCATTGCAGTCATCTCGAAGCGACCCCCCTCCAGCGGGACGGACGGCCCAATGGGTGGCCAGAACCCCTGTGCCGAGCCAAACGTCACACGTTACCCGATTGCGACGCTGCTTCCGGCCCGAGAGGAACAGATCGCCGGGCATGTTTCCAGCTGCGTTCTGTATAAGGTATTGGCTCGCCTATCGTGCCGCAAAATGGCCATTGTGTGTATCTGTGACTGCTCTGAACGCGGCGTGATCATATGCAAGCTGATGGTTTTCGTCACAGCCCTTCGTCTCTGCTCTTCTTGTTTGGCTTCTGGCAAAGCTACATTTCTTAGTACCTATCCTCAAAAGCCTTGATTGGAACGATGACAGATTCGGGCAATCTCATATAACAACGCGAACCGTCGGCCGAGGTTGATGCTTTGCTAATTGCCATCATCTCGTCCTCGCGCAGGGGCCTCTCCCTTCCCCTAGCTCTCGCATCGTCTCTCTGGTCTCCATAACCGCCTCTTTGGATCGTGGCGTCAAGCTCCTGTCATGCGCTTGGCGACCTGGACCACACGACGCTAAGTCTTCCCTACGTCTTCCTACTCGAAACCAAGAAGGTCCTCTAGCGTGGACCATGGCACAACTCACCTTCCTATCTTCGCTGGCAAGATGTGTTCCATGAGAGTCAGGAGCGTGCCGCCCATGTGCTAGCCTAAGGATCTTGACCTAGGTGTGTAGGTGCTTGGCTCCCAGGATCAGAGTGGGCAGTCACTCACACTTCCCGCCTCGTGGAGAACTCGCGAATTCCTCGTGGAGGGCTTGCTAGTCATATTTACGCCTGTTTTTGGTATTTCGAACATTGGCCTTCTTTGGAATGTCTTGAAAAGATATGTGCCTGTCTCGTTCCTCATCCGATTGATAACATTTCCCCAAATCTCAAGACATGGCGGCGCATTTTCGACAGTGATTTTACACTAGATCAATTTATCCAACAGACGCACAGGTGTCAGCCGAGAGCATTCTGGACTCATTACTTCGAGACAAAAACCCTGCCGCCAGGAACACGAGCCATACTACGAATCATTGGAAGTCGTGCCCTACTACCTAGTCTACGGGAAGGATTCGGATCTTTGCAGTTCTGACAATGTCTTGGCACAGAGGACAGATTTTACCAGTGCCTCTCGGAGATATCAACGGTATTCACATCAACGCCATCCCGGAACCACCTCTCTGTGTCTTCAATTTTGACATCGTTCCCGCTCATCTGTCTCTTGCGCATAAGCCCGTTCTCAGCAAAGGTCCAATCCTCGAGACCATACGTCCGCCACCATTGTCCCGACTCATCATGCCACTCATACCAGAATTGGACGGCAATCTTGTTCCAATGGTCAGTGATCTCTCAAAAGCGCAGCCGCAGCTGCGGGGTCAACGGTGACTCTGGGGAGCTTACCTTGTTATCGGTGAAGGCGAACAACTCCTTGCGCAGTCGGTAGCCATTCTCCTTCTCCCACTTCTTGGTGAGCCATTGCTCAATCTCATCTCGACCCTGGAGAAAAGTGTCTCTGTTGCGCCAGATGGAGTCGGGCGTGTAAGCCATCTTCACTTTTGCGGGGTTTCTGCGGCGATGTCAGTGGGCGTCTGCTTCGGCTGCTGAGGGGCACGGACTTGGAGTTCCATCCATCCTGGGCCGCCTTCACCTTGATCCTCGCGGTTTCCTCGGTGAAGGGTGGGAACGGCGGTCTGGCTTCGTCCTGGCTGGTCATGATTCAAGCAATGCGATCTTTCCAAGTGATGATGCCTAAAGTCACGGAGCTATCGCCACGGCAAAGACAGCAGTTTTGAACATGTCAATTATGCTGGAAGAAGACACAAGCACTGGACGATGCAACCAATCACAGACACAGGCTGCCGGGGGTTCGGCCTTTGTCAGCTGTCATCAGCGCCCTTGGCAAACACCGCGGGTTCTGCTCTTACGAAACGACGTCAGATGAGGCGCAAAAATTTTGATTTTCAACCTTTCAGCTCTAGTCGAGAAATTTCAATCCAGCTTGAGCATGATGAGTCTTTCAAACTTCGGATGGATTGCGGAGTGAGCGCTACAGCAACAAGCAACGGCCGACGCCGGCGCAACTTCTGCCTCATCACACAGAGCCGCGCTGACTGCAGTTACGGTCTGTCGTTGTGTGAACCAGGTACCGCAGGATTGACTTTACTGAGTCCAGGCAGCTGGTTCTTCAAACGATAAAAGTCAGGTAATTCCAGACAAGCACATGCTCGCCGACTTTGTACCATCTGCACGCCAATGACCACCAACATCCAGAAATGTCACGCCGCCCGGGTCTGGAGTACCCGGACCTCGCCATGATGACAAAAAGGCTCCCAGAGTCACAACCTCTTGGCACAGTAACTCCGAAGGACGTTGGTAGAAGGCCGACAGGCTGGATGCTCGGACGGCCGAGAGGGGCCCTTGTTCGCCTCCCCCCACCGGGGGAGAGAGGCCGGGGATCGGAGCCCAAACGGACGCGGCATAAATTCCCGGTCTTGCGTCATGTCACTCTGTGGGCCGAAAAGGTGCGCATTTAGCTGGTGTTATCAGAGTTCAAGGTACATGTCATCTATTCGTACCTCCCCCATACGGATATTCTGTCTGTTGTCACTTTGAATGCTGCTGTTATCTACTTAGTACCTTACCTTGTACCTTGAGCAAGGGAAAAAAGATACTTTGCATCATGGCTTCCAAACGCGAAAGCGGGCAAACAAGAAAGACAACTCTCCAGAGTTCCGAGACAAATCAAACCGTCGAGTGCCTCCTGTTAGTGCAACGGTAGGTCCCCGTGGTCCGCACTTTTTTTTGTCCACTTGTATGTCCGTATTCGTCACAAAAAGACTACCTTTTGTGCCTGTGCCTGAGATGGTCGGCGGTGGTCCCAGGAAGGAGTGGCCGCCCCGCGCCTAAGGAGCGTAGTATCCGTATCTCAAATACAAATCATCACGAGCTCCACTTCCCTGGAAGCTCGCAGAATTGCGCCTGGGACCCTGACTCGGCGATCCCTCGATATCCCGCCCACCTACTAATTCGCCCTACCTTCCTTTCCTTTATCTGATCTTGTTTTCCCTCTCCTTCCGTTCTTCACCAAACCACTCTACTACCAATCCACTCTCAAACCTCCAACGCACTTCTTTCTTCACCAATTTCCTCAACCAACCCATACCAAATCATCAAAATGTCTGGTCTCAAGGTCGGCGAGCAGTTCCCCGAGGGCGTTGCCTTCCAGTACATCCCCCACCAGGAGGAGACTGCCGACTTCAAGGTCTGCGGTATCCCCATCAAGTACGACACCGCCAAGGGTAAGTCTCTCTATCAATTGAAGCATCACGGAACAAGAAAGACATTCGTGGCTAACTCCTCCCGTCTCCCAACAGAGTTCAAGGACAAGAAGGTCGTCATCGTCTCCATCCCCGGTGCCTTCACTCCCACCTGCTCCGCCTCCCACCTGCCCGGCTACATTGAGCACAAGGACGAGCTCAAGGCCAAGGGCGTCGACCAGGTCATCTTCCTCGCCTACAACGACCCCTTTGTCATGTCCGGCTGGGGCAAGGCCAACAACATCAAGGACGACTTCATTGTGAGTTTTGCCCGTTTCTGTCTTGCTGTTTCTGTTGCATCTTTTTTCTTTTTCTTCTTCGACTTGTTTTCTCCAGCTAGCAGCTAGCTTTAGCTGTGCTGTTGCGTTGTGTTGTTTTACCCCTCCCCCTCTTTCCGTGGAGCTCACCCCTTCACCGACTCCGATAAACGCCGCCCGCCCCCCACCCCCCACTCTGCCCCTCCACAAGGGGGTTGGAAAAGAGTCTCAACATGATACCACGATACGCTCAAATCGCCTCACCCGCGAAGTTGCATTCGTGTCTTCTCTCATCTTCCATCGCGCAATATCCCAGCCACCGTCACAAGCATTGATGAACTAACCCGGCTTTCCCAGATCTTCGCCTCCGATGCCAACGCCGCCTTCTCCACCTCCATCGGCTGGAACCACGGCGAGCGCACCGCCCGCTACGCCATCGTCATCGACCACGGCAAGGTCGTCTACGCCGAGAAGGAGACTGAGCTCCAGGGTCTCGAGGTCTCTGGCGCCGAGCCCGTTCTCAAGGCTCTGTAAAGAGTTGGTACCTTGTGCCACTTGAAGATTTAATGAATTTTGCGTTGGGCGGGATCCTTTTTTTTACATGATGAGAAATGCCCAAGACATGGTCTCTTTTATAGACGAAAGAGGGGAAAGAAAGGAAACCTTTTTCCGACGCGCGTTTAGAACAAAAGCTCATATTAGAATTTTGAACTTTCGTTAGACGAAGATTGGGGCGGTTTTCGGATCACGAAACCACTTCTTCCGCTTATAGAATAGAGACAAAAACTGAATGGTTCATGAGACCTGGCCATGTTTCTGCCTAGCCTGAAATACTTGATCTGATGACTGGAACGTGAGCTGTTAGATGCCTTGGTAGAGCTAATAGAGCAGACGGACTTCGTCTCGGTAGCGGGGCTCGGAGATGCGATATTGCCGCGAAGAGAGATGGACGGGGGGAAGGAACCACAGGAGGGGATGGTTGTCTTTTCCCCGACGCAGGTCATGGTGTTGTTGGATACTTACACCGGGTAAGCTCTATTACGCAGATATATGTTATATGTGCGGCTCGTTTCCATAGTAGGCATGATGCGGATAAACTTGGGGTATCATGACCACAAAAGATGATGGATGTTCAGAGGTGTGTGTTTGATATATTCTTGGAAAGAAAGGCTAGAGTATGATGTTTACTTGGAGTTTACCCAGCGGGCTTAATGTACTCGAGTGAGGACGAGGGTATGGGTGTCTGTCGATGGCCGTCTTTTACAATGAGAGATGTGTTTTCTTTTCCCGCCTCATTTGCTATTTTCTCCACGGCCTTTCCTGTGAAATGGTTCATCGAGCAGGGCGAGTTCTGGTGACGGCACGGCAAATTCTGAAAATGCCCTCCCCCACATGTCACTGAAAGATGGGAGAAGGGATTTTGAGCTTTGTGAACGTTTATCGTGTGGAGTAAGCTTCAGTCCTCATTCCGAGCGCGTGAAGCCGGGGAATCAAAGGAGTTCTACTGTCCCTCTACTTCCGTTGAGGGGAATACATGATGTGACAGCCACTACGAAGCGCATTTTGTTTGATGCTTCTTCGGCTCGTAGCTTCGCTCTGGGAACAACGCAGGAAAGGGGACGGGAAGGTTTGAGCTCGTGGATGAGTCCCGGGATCTATTGCAGTATATCCGCCGCTTAAGATCTCGGCGACTGTCTCCCACGCATGTCAACCTCCCAAGAATCACGTCACCATTCAAATGGTACAAAACACAAAAAGACTAGTCACCAAAGTACGGGATTCAAGGATCAAAAACGTTGGTAAGAATCCCCCGTTGGGACAATTCCATGCAAATTCCGTGCTACCCGTGAGATTGTGTAGTTATAGAACCCCAAAGTCCCCGTTTCAAAGCACAATGAACCCTCGACTCCAATCAAGTTTTTTTTGAACCTGGTCGTATTGTGCCTTTCACCAATCGTTCGTTGTCAGAAGCGTTCGTTCCTTCTCTAAAAACGGTCTCCCCCCTCACCAGCCGGAGGGTTGAAAGAAAAACACCTAACCCTCGGCCGGGATTGGTCGGTGGCCGTTTCTGTTCTTTGCTTCCCGCATGTCACACCAGCCTCACGCCGTCTCGACAGAGAAATGTTTTTACTCTTTTTTTATTTCATCATGTCAAGAGAAGAAAAACCCATCACGCAAACCCAAATTTTTTCCCCAATCCTCAACGAGAGACTAGAAAAAAAAAAGCTGTTTAACGGGTACGGGCCTGGACCTTGGGAGCGGCGCCCTTGGAGCCCTGCTTGGAGGCGATGGGGCCCTTCTTGCCACCGGCGGCGGCGGTCTTGGCCTTCTCGGCCTTCTTGGCGGCGGCGTCGGCGTTCTTCTTGTCCTTGGACTCCTTGATGGCGGCGGCGCGGGCGGCGGAGCGGGCCTCGGGGCGCATGGAGCGCTTCTCCTTGATCACATCGAGGGAGGCACCGACGATGGCACGCTGGGCCTTGACGGTGCGGCGAGTGCGCTTCTTGGCGACCTCCTGTTGTGGGGGTCAGTCATGCGTTTTCTCCAAGGTTGAGGTTCGCGACGCGTGAAGGGGTTCGAGATATTACATCTCGAACGTGACCATGCGGCAGCGTCGCGACGGTTTGGCACTCACCTCAGAGATACCCTTGCGGTGCTGGCGACGGTACAGGACGGTCCAGGCAATGCGGCGGGGGTTCTTGCGCTGGAGGAAGAGGGACTCGGACTTTCCGTTCTGGAAACGGAAGATCTTGGAGTCACCGCGGACGTAGAGCTTACCCTGTAGTCAGAGTCTCGTCAGCGTCTTGTTCCCATGGAGAGTGTTTTGTCTTTGCCTCCTCCGTGAATTCGTCTCCTTGCAATCATCTTTCCTTTCCCCGTCGATCAATCGTTGCCCCATGGCTTGCTCATTCACCCGAGTCGTTGCCCCTCATGTCCCATCTCTTCCATCTGGGGTTGAGCTCCCCTACTGCCCAGCCATGCTTTAAACAGGTTCCTTCGATCGACTGGGGGGAAAGATGATATCGGAGACGTAGGGAAGGATGGGTGGCGTTGTCATCATCGTACCTTTCCAGGGTAGATTCTCTGTCCGGAGAACGTGTCGTCGTACGTGCGCATCTTGAATAATCAGTCAGAAAACAATTCCTCGTAAATTTTCGGAAGATCCTCCTGTAATCGGCCCTCAATTCGTTCTCCTCGTCTGGCCCAGCGAAGTTGTTCGTGGAAAGCGGCTGTCTTTCGGAAATGGTGACGTTGCGGTTTTGTTGGGTAATCGCTAGGCCAGCAGTCGGAAGGAAAAAAATCGAGGGTCGACCGGACGAGGGGGTAATCTATTGAACGTACATTGGCGGTATTGAATGCGAACGTTGGCTGACTTGTCGATGAGGTCAAAGGGTTCGGGAAGGGGAGGGTAAGACCAGGCTGGCACTCTTCGCGAGATTCTACAATTTTCGACTCTGGTTCGGAAATTCGTCGTGGGAGGGTAGAATAGCCTAGTGGGCGTCAACCCTACGCGGACGGGACGAAAGAGTGGGTCTGCTTGGTGGTGCATGTGTCACGTGGAGATAGCCATTACCGATATTGAGGTGGTTGACTCGAACTGCGCCACATATTGGTAGAGTGCAGTGGATTTGTGGCTTGCCTGGTCTAGAAGCCCCACTCTCAACTTCAAGTCGAGATGTGCATCTACGACACAGATTCTTGCTTGAGAGAAAATGTCGAACGGATACCGGTGATGAAAAGTTGGCTTAAGGTGACGAGACCGCTTACGAGAATATCACGGCCGCTGAAAATGCCAGCCGACCCCGATGAGATCGCAGATGTTGTCCTAGGGCGGTTCAAGAAGCTACCTACAAAACGCAGGCCCCAGCTTAGAGACAATGGCCTACATGAATGGGTTCCCCTGAGCGGCATTGTTGCCGAAAAAGATGGCGTCTTAACTTGTCTCTCACTCGCGTAAGTAAGATGGTCATGTGTATGTTATCGTGTGGATGATCTCGGGTCATACAACTTGTAGTTAATTCATGTGGCACATCATACTTCAGACTCTGGATCTCATCTTTCTTAGTTCACGATATTCTATATGGACAATACTCCCCGTAGCTTCCACGATACGTAGCAATACCAGACATCATTATCTCATGAATATCATCAATGACCACTTGACTAACACCTACCACAGAACGGGCATGAAGTGTCTCCCAGCCAGCAAACTCCCCTTGGCAAAAGGAAACGCCCTCCACGACTGGCATGCCGAAGTCCTCGCCATCCGCGCCTTCAACCGCTACCTCCTGGACGAATGCGATACCCACTCGCAGGGCAGCTCGCCCACCTCAGATATCATTACAAGACGCCCACCCTCCGCCATCTCCCCCTCCTCACCCCAACCCTTCGCAATCAGAGACGACGTTACCCTACACATGTACTGCTCCGAAGCCCCCTGCGGCGATGCAAGCATGGAACTCACTATGGCCGCCCAAGAAGATGCTTCACCCTGGGAACTGCCTCCGTCCTCAGCCTCTCCATCCGGCACGACTGCTACGCCACCTCCCCAGACAACAACAGACACAACCCCCCTCCCAGGAAGAGCCTACTTCTCCCACCTAGGCATCGTCCGCCGCAAACCAGCCCGCGGCGACGCGCCCCCGACCACCTCGAAATCCTGCTCCGACAAGCTCGCGCTCAAACAGTGCACCTCCCTCCTCGCCTCGCTGGCATCCCTGCTGATCCATCCAGGCAACGCCTACATCTCGTCCGTTATCCTCCCGGAATCGGAGTACTCCGCTACAGGCTGCGAGCGCGCCTTCTCAGCAAGCGGACGGATGAAGGCCGTAGTGGATGAAGCGGCGCGTTGGAAGGGTGGACACCGGTTCTGGCCGTTTGAGGTGCGGACCACGTCTAGAGAATTTGAGTTCTCGAAACGGATGGTTAGGAGGAAGGCTGGGGCGGATAAGATTGCGGCGAGTAACCTCGCTGCTGCCTGGACACGCGGTGGTGGTGTTGATGAGGGGACGATGGGCGGCGTGCTGCAGGGGCGGAAGGCATTTGATGTCCGGGGCGCGAGTTTGGTTTCCAGGCGGAGGATGTGGGAGCTCGCGGTGGCGGTGGCGGAGCGGGTGGCTACGGAAGGTGGTGACGACGATGAGGTTGGGGGGTTGCTGCGGCGGGCGTTGGATGTTGATGCGTATGGCAAGGTCAAGGGCGGGGAGATGCTTGTTCATCGGAGGGAGGTCAAGGAGGCTGCGAGGAGGGTTGCGTTGGCGGGGTGGGTTGTCAATGTTGGGGATGAGGAGTTTGCGAGGTTGTAGGATGGAATTCGTCACGGTGGTATGGATGCTAAAAGACACGAGTGCGGCGCAATTGGAAAATCATTTGGTATCACTCTTCGCATCTTCATCGTCTCACCATCTCATCACGCTGTGAGTCTAGATTGTTGACCTTGTCGAGACCACAATACTGCGCAGTTTGGACATGAACGGTGAGTCTTCAGCGTCTCCCAGGAGCCTGACTTCCTCTCGCCGTCTCACATCGACAACGACGCACACAATTTCAACCGCCGGGAAACAAATTGGGAGCGTCTTCGTATCGATCGATTTTTGCGTTGGAAGTCAAGTTTGTATCTCGTTAATTTTTCCCATTCCTTAAAACCCACACGCTCGTTCATAGATGATAGGCAATCCACGGAACCCAAGGACGGTTTCGATCAAAAAAAGTATCTCTCTTCTCCCTCGAACTCCCATGACAAAAAGTATAAAGGTAGTCGCAGAGGGGTGGCACCGTTTGGTTTGGGAGCTTTTTTTTCATTTATTGATCTTTTTTCGGCAAATCTTTCATCTTCTGTTGTGAAGTATTTCGCCGCTTACTCGACCTTGCTCTCAAAGTTCTCACCCTCGACCAGGTCGGGGATGTCGTCCTCCTCGCCGTCCTTGCCCTCCTTCTGCATGTTCTGGTAGCTCTCGGCGAGCTTGCGGAGCGAGGCGAGGGAGTCGGGGCCGAGCTGGTTGAGGATGCCGGGGACGAGCTCGGTGAGCTCCTTGTCCTCACCGTTGCCGTAGATGGCGAAGGTGTTGGCGGGGACGGCAGCGTGGACTGGAAGAGTTTCATCTTTAGTATACGTCTAGGTACTTCTTCGTGCGATGAGAGAGGAATGGGAGGGTAGAAGAGCTATCCTCTGGTGGAGGAACAGAGGTGCATCGGAAAAGAGGACGTGAACGGTGATGGTGGTAGCTTGGTGGTCATTTACCCTTGGGAGCAGCAAAGTGGATGACGTTGCCGTCAGACTTGAACATGTTGACCTCCTCAATGGCCTGGATGGGCTGGACGTTGAGCTTCTTCAGGGCAGCCTGGAGCTTCTTGTCGTCGGCGGCGGAGCGCGCGGGCGCACGCTTCATCTTGCGGCGGGGAGTGCCCTTGCCGCTATCGTCGGGCGAAGCATCGATACGTTAGTCATCATCTCCTCTTTGTAAACATTTCGCGAATGAGCGGGTTCGAGAGTTGTGTTTGTAGGCAATTTTGTCTTTTTTTCTGGATATTTCGCGGTGTTCTCGGTGAGGGAAAGGGTGTAGGGAAAAAATGAGGGGTCAATTTTCGGAGGTTCACACATACCCTGCGCATCGCGTATATTAGCTACCAATTTCAAAACCGACAGCATTACGACAGCATAGAGACAAACGACATTGACGGAGACATACCGATACGCGCGGAGGCGCCGAGCTTCTTGAGGCGTTCCTGGACGTCCGACATGGTGGGCAGATTGGCTCGAAAATTGACGAGTTTGGGGAGGGAGAGTGACGGTTTGGCGTGGTGGTTTTGCGGGTGGGGGAAAGGGAAGCAAGCTGGTGCTGTGCGGTCGTCCTCAGGGCAATTAGCAAAAATGTGTGGTATGGAGGTGGGAAAAACCCGGGCGGGCAGCGGCCGGCCGACCCCCCTCAGGCGAGGACGGGAGCTACGACCACACGCATATTCCCACCCCGCCCTCTTTCCTTCCCCTTCCCGACCCGTGTGTGCAGCGCCCGAGGGAAGTAAATTTCACTGAGGTGGGCAAACTACTCACCGTGATTCGTCTATTGTTTGTCACACGTTGAATTATCTACCACAAGGCTGAAGCCGACTCTGCCAACTTTGCATGATAAGGGTGATGCAATGATGGAGGTTTTGTGCGTGCCAAGAATTCCCTTCGCTTGCGGAAATAGTATTGTGCCGAGGTACGTTCCTTTTCTGGACCTCACCGAAAGTTCACCGAATGAGGTGGGGCCAGCTGAGTGATGAGCTTTTCGGCTTGCCTTCTCGAGCGGTGTTGAACCAGGTTGATTCTCTGCGTCACTGACAATCAATGTCTCCTGGCACGATGCATGCTATCATATCTCCATCAATAGGCCGATATCAATCCGGCCATGCCAAGAACGCAACACTACTGCCGCGTAGTCTGTCAATTTCATCCAAATATCTTTGAGCCCTCAAACGCCTGAAAGCAACCCTCAGAGGTCAGCATGGTATCTTTCGTTGTTATACAGCCAAACATGGCATAATCCCAGACCCTCCGAGACCACGTTGATATAGTACAGTCCGTCGTAGAGCGGCGGGATATCAGTCCAAGTCATCCGACATTCCCGACTCCTTGCGCATCGCCGCTTGCTGTGCCTTGAGATCTGCCTCTCTCCTCCTCTGTTCATTCACGCGTGCCTGCTTTTGTCTCTCAATATCTTCGTCTCGCACCGTCCAGACTGTTGACTGTGTTAGCTCCATGCTGAACCATAATTCCACGATATGACTGGCGTACTCGGCTTGTTCGACTTGGAGTATTCCTTCAGCTTCGTAACAAACTGGTCAAACTCCTCCTGCGTCTTTTCGCGGTTCGCAAGACTCCTGGCCTGTAGCTCGGGGTTGTATCTCTTGAAGAGCTCCTCTTCCGTCGGCGACACCCACATGGTGAAGGCCGGACCGCCCACGCAAAAGATCCCACCACTGTGCCCATCTGTCAGTTCGCCATTCCCTGCAGACCTTGAAGAGTCTCAACGTACCCAAGCAGCATCTTTCCCCACAACTTCCAATTCGTAGCCTTCTTTGTCGCCATGGTGATTGAGTTTGTGCGATGCGGTGCGATAGCAGGTGGGCTGTGACGATTTGGCGAAGCTCCGGCAATGGAGGCTTGAGTTTGGGGCTTTGCGACACAGAGGCAGCCCTCTCACAATCGATGACGAACCTGACGCGCTTGATTGGAGATCTACCAGCAGAGACCCAATTTGGAAGGCGGTGGGAAGCTGCCATCTCGTGCACCCTTAGGTAAGCTTGGACTCGATGACTTACAGTGGTCCATGCGCTCTCTCGAGATGGTGTGGCTAACGCTTCCCGTGGGACATCAGCTTTCATCCGCATATTCTTAGACTGGAAGTTCACGCACCAATGCGAACAAGACTCGGGCTCAAGTCCGTTCGAAAGTGTGGCGCCCTACACCATCAACTTCCCATGATCGTCAAAACCCACAGACCAGTTCTCATCTTCCCAGCACATCTCTGCAACCTCGTGGCGCAGGCGGAAGACCACATGTCCGAGGGGGCTGTGCTCACTGTCACCAACATCGAACAAAACGTTTGTGGTTGGATGATGCCACAACCCATTTGGAGACAAGCAACGCTCCAGATCGACATGCAGGAACGCAAGAAAACGCTTCCCGTGCTCCCCTCCCCAATGACAGGACGAAATCGAGCACCAACCCTCGTGAGTTACGGCGGGATATCCCCCAGAAAGGGAGGCCACCTACGGTGCATCAGAAGCCCATGTGCCGGCCAAGCCTTCAGTAGTAACTGGCGACGACGGCGCAGCCGCCCTTCGATGTCAGTCACGATTTGTCTACTCTCTGTCGTTGTGGCGAAAAGACATCAAAAGGTCTCCGCCTCCAGGGGCGTAGTGTCTTCCACGCGTCTGAGGGCTTCCTATGCATCGTGATTTGACCGTTGAGGATTCAAGCCATCAACCCCACCTCACATGGAAACGCCGGTCTTGGCCGCTCAGCCCTTCCTTCGAGACGGGAAAGAAAACGCTTTACTCCGAACGGGACGGAAGCTGACGAAATGCCTAACCCACCTCACCGCATGCTTGGCCGCTTGGCCGTACGTTGACCGGGCCGAACGGCCTTCCTATTCGACCTTGGTTGTTTCCACACTGGATGTGGTCGAGAAGTGGAGGCGACGAAGGCGAACGTCGTAAAGCAATACGATAGGGTAGAGGCCTCCTGAGCGTGACCAGAGAGGCTGATATTACCGTCGACGAATAGCAAGCCTGCAGAGACTTCGTCACCAGGACATCTGGTCATTGCTCTTGAGTTCTTGCTAAGTGACTTTCCCGCTAGATGATGCATTCCTAAGTAAGAAGGAATGCCGCAACGAAAAGTAGGGACTAGCTGCGCTGCCTCGGGGTGGTTGCATAAACAGGCATTGCTGTCACTGAATCCCACAACCGTTCACCGGCACCAGTTCAGTACGGTATACCAGCACCCGCGCTCCGGGCAACAGGACGGGAGTCGACGGGAAGCGAGAGAGATGAGACGAAATGTCGCGGACAGGCTCGGCGCACAGAGACTTTACGAACCTAATTGCCCCTCGTCTCGCTGAGGGTCCTGTCGGTGCACCAGAGCACCAGACACACCGGAAAACGGGGTTCAACAGGAGCCTGGACTGTTTCCGCACCCTTGCTTTTTTGGTTCTCGATACTTGGGGATAGGGTTGTTCTCCTACTCTCCTGATAAATTGCTTCTTGTTTTGAGAAGAGGTGAGCAGGAGCCGAGTAACAGCCGGGCCCCTGATGCTCACGGCTGACTGCTGAAGGGTGATAATACTGGATCCCCATAAGGCAGACTCCATGGGAACAGCAGACTCAAAAGGGGCGCCAGGCCAATGAGGTTTGCCACTGGGGAGTTTCTGATACAGCGCTCTTGTCGTGTGTACCGAGAGAGAGACGCGGAGCCAGAATGCATTGCAGCAATGCTCATTCAACGGGTCTTAGGGGGTTTGTGATTGATCCCTGCTTCTTAATAAGGCACATTGCGCGACCCGGGTCAGGCAGTCAAGTGAGAGCAGGCGACATGCCTGATCAGCGTCGTTTTTCTTAGGGCACAAGATTGCATCGCTTGCGGTGGCTGATAGGATAGGTTTCCGTACTGGAAAGATCAAAAAGGAAGAGGTTGTCAGATGAAGCTTTTTGGGGGTGTTGCCATAGAGGCACCTAATTGAGGTTGGAATGTCTCTGATCCTATCTGCCTCGTGACGACGAAGACGGAAACGGCATGGTAGTTGCAAATCATTCGTTGAAGACAACTGTGACATTCCATTGATGGTTGCTGGACTGACGTCTTTTTCTTTTCTATTCGCAAAGTGAATGAATGAGTGTGGAGGGGAAATGGGTTGTGGAATGCAAAGGCTGGGAAGCATGGAGTCAATGGACCCATCCACTCGGAGTACCTAACGGTAGGTACCTACGAATGAGCCCAGTCATGCCAGTGAGGTGTGGTACCTTACCGTGGCCATGACCTCAGTTCCACGCCGCGACGCTGGGAAGACCCTCGTTGCAGCGCTCGGATGAACCTTTCCTGTGAGGGCTTCGTGCTGCGGCTGTCCAGGGGAATGGTATACTTCGCTGAGGGCGAGAGGGTAGAAAAGCGAGAGATATGCAAATTGTCGTGGGGCCGGCGGCGGTTCAGGCATGGTTGCCCAACTGATCCGGGATATCCTCTCTCTCAAGCTGCAGTATGTAATCTATCCGGTCTGTAAGCTGATGGGCGGGTCACGGAAGGCCCCAGAGAAATAAGAGTATAAGACCCAGATGAAAAGATTAATGTTGTTGTAAATGTAACGAGCAGGCTGGCGCAAATTGAAGGCGGTGCTTCTGTTGGATCTCGCTTCATTCAATGCGCCTGAAGTTCTGAAGTACATACAGTACAGTACTGATAGGCTGTAGCCCCTTCCCCCCTCTGCAAAGTCACTCAAAGTTCTCCGTAAGAGTAACCTTAAGCTAGCAGCGGCAGTGCGAACGCTGCTTCCGTACCTTGCCTTAGTGAGGCACTTTATTACTTGCCTTAGTAGCGCAAGTACCGAAGTAGCGTCGTATTGAGTGGATGAGCTTCGTCTCTGGTATTGAAACCATCTTGACAGGCCAAAAGGTACGGATCCTTGTGACCATGAGGACAGTGATGACAGAAAACGACAATCATCGACGCCGTTCGATAGCTGTCGCTTCTACCATCTACAGACTTTGAGCAACGCGTTGATACCAGGGATATCGATTACAGAGTACGTCCGGGTGGCATATCATCACTTGTTCGGTACCTTAATGTGAGATCAGGTACCTTGAAGAAAGGTATGATAGGGAAGCAGAAGCGACATGGACAGACGGAAGGACACGGCCCCGACACGCGCCTTCTCAAACACGCTGTCGTCATTTTGTCGCTGTTGCTCAGGGACCTTAATTTGTTCCTTTTTCTGCAACAAACAAGACGCAGACAGCAGTCCTGAATTGCCGTATCTTAGTGTGTATGTTGCCAACGCTGCTAAGACAATCCAACTCATTTCATGAGTTCAAGTAATGTAGACAGGTAGACACCATGCAGTTGTATTCCACGGACTTGATTGTAATGTGAGGTGGTGCGAACGAGAGGCAGAAGAAAGGTACAAAAGGTACATGTCCATGGGAGCACTTGCCTTCCATGACAACCGCCGCAGGAACGCCCCGTAACCGGGGACCCTGGGAAA